GACATTATGAACGCTCCGGCACCAGGCACAAGCACACGGCCATGTTTCTATTATGGCTTCTTCCACTTCAGCAGCTCCATCTCCTTTAACTAGCGCTCTGATTGTTGGATGCGTGGTGAAGCCACTGGTAAACGTGACGACTGGTTTATCGTTCATCTAAAGAAAGCATTTCCATCATATCACTTGAGTGCACAAATCCAGCAGCATGTCAATGATGTGAGTGCACACAGGAGAGATCACTGCTCATTAGACATCACTGCTGACAGCCAGCGTCAACACACACACACACTTTAACACTACAGCATCATTCATGTCATTAATGCATTGCTCAAAAGATATTCACAACTTGTTTATCTCACGGAATCTGTCAAAAATTCAGCATAAAATACAAATTCTCTCTATTTTCTAGATACATGTTATAGATTTTACTGTGAACAATTCGTTTTGACCTTGTAATAATTAAGCAACCTTGTTTAATTAAAATGGGACCTTCTCTGGTTACACATATTTAAATCTTTTAATAGAACAAAATAACAGATATTTAAATTTCCTATTAGAACAAAACAACCAACATTTAAATTTCTTATTAGAACAAAACAACCGATATTTAAATTTCTTATAAGAACAAAACAACCGACATTTAAATTTTTTATAAGAACAAAATAACCGATATTTAAATTTTTTATTAGAATAAAATAACCGATATTTAAATGTTTTTATTAGAACAAAACAACCGATATTTAAATTTCTTATAAGAACAAAACAACCGACATTTAAATTTTTTATAAGAACAAAATAACCGATATTTAAATTTCTTATTAGAATAAAACAACTGATATTTAAATTTCTAAACAGAACAAAACCAGCTGACATTTAAATCTCCTATTAGAACAAAACAACCGAAATTAAAAAATTTTATAAGAACAAAATAACCAATATTTAAATTTCTTATTAGAATAAAACAACTGATATTTACATTTCTAAACAGAACAATTCCAGCTGACATTTAAGTCTCTTATTAGAACAAAATAACCGATATTTAAATTTCTTATTAGAACAAAACAACCGATATTTAAATTTCTTCTAAGAACAAAACAACCAACATTTAAATTTTTTATAAGAACAAAATAACCGCTATTTAAATGTTTTTATTAGAATAAAACAACCGATATTTAAATCTCTAAACAGAACAAAACCAGCTGACATTTAAATCTCCTATTAGAACAAAACAACCGAAATGTAAATTTTTTATAAGAACAAAATAACCGATATTTAAATTTCTTATTAGAACAAAACAACCGTCATTTAAATTTCTTATAAGAACAAAACAACCGACATTTAAATTTTTTATAAGAACAAAATAACCGATATTTAAATGTTTTTATTAGAATAAAACAACCGATATTTAAATCTCTAAACAGAACAAAACCAGCTGACATTTAAATCTCCTATTAGAACAAAACAACCGAAATTTTAATTTTTTATAAGAACAAAATAACCGATATTTACATTTCTTATTAGAACAAAACAACCGATATTTAAATTTCTTCTAAGAACAAAACAACCGACATTTAAATTTTTTATAAGAACAAAATAACCGATATTTAAATTTTTTTATTAGAATAAAACAACCGATATTTAAATCTCTAAACAGAACAAAACCAGCTGACATTTAAATATCCTATTAGAACAAAACAACCGAAATTTAAATTTCTTATTAGAACAAAACAACCGATATTTACATTTCTTATAAGAACAAAACAACCGACATTTAAATTTTTTATAAGAACAAAATAACCGATATTTAAATTTCTTATAAGAACAAAACAACCGACATTTAAATTTTTTATAAGAACAAAATAACCGATATTTAAATTTTTTATTAGAATAAAACAACCAATATTTAAATCTCTAAACAGAACAAATCCAGCTGACATTTAAATCTCCTATTAGAACAAAACAACCGACATTTAAATTTCTTATAAGAACAAAATAACCGATATTTAAATTTCTTATTAGAACAAAACAACCGACATTTAAATTTCTTATTAGAATAAAACAACCAATATTTAAATCTCTAAACAGAACAAAACCAGCTGACATTTAAATCTCTTATTAGAACAAAACAACCGACATTTAAATTTCTTATACGAACAAAATAATCGATATTTGAATTATCGGTTATTGGGGGGGGTATTAAAAACAAAAATGATTTAATCATATGGTAATGCACATTTTACAGTAAAGCACTGAGATGGAGTTGGGAAGCTGGGAAGAATACAAAATTTACTTTTATTTTTATTATTATTATTATTATTATTTATTACTAACAACAGTAATGTTATATATTATATATTCTATATACAAATTATATATTATATATTCTCATTACAGGCACCATTATTCTTTTATAGTATTATACTGAACTGACCGACAACGGCAGTGATTATAAAAGAAGGGCTCTTTACTTTATGTGATTCAGTCGCAATTTAAACACAAGTTTGTGTTTTCATGGCACTTTGTGACTTGTCTTACTTCATACACATGAAAAGTTCAAAACTTTGACAAAATTTGATTTCTTGATGATTTAATATTTTATACTAGTGATTTTATAATATCAAAATATAAAGCAAAAACAGTGGAAATGAATGATTAATGAGCCAATAAGTGCTCCTCTTGCTGCCATCTACTGGTTATAGTGGTAATTTGATGTATTCTTTAATTTTATTTTAAATAAGTGTTTGTTTACCACAAAGTATATTTTGGTCATACCATTAAAAATAACATTTAAATTGGATAATTTTTAGAGCTTTAGAAATCCAGAAAGTTACCATTTGTAATTCACGTTAATCTCACTGGATTTTCATTGTTATTGTGCATTTGTACAATACTTTTACTCATCAAGGATGCACAAAATTTATCAAAAGTGACAGTAAAGACATTTAAAATATTAGGAAAGATTTCCGTTTGAAATAAATGCTGTTCTTCTGAACTTTCTATTCATCTGTGAATCCTGAAAAATAAAATGCATCACAGTTTCCACAAACATATTGTGCAGCACAACTGTTTTCAACATTGATAATAATCAGAAATGTTTCTTGAGCAGCAAATCAGCATATTAGAATGATTTCTGAAGATCACGTGACTCTGAAGACTGGAGTAATGATGCTGAAAATACAGCTTTGATCACAGAAATAAATGACAGTTTAACAGATACTCACATAGAAAACAGCTGTTTTAAATTATAATAATATTTCACAATTTTTTTATTGTATTTTTGATCAAATAAATGCAGCCTTGGTGAGCAGAAGAGACTTCTTTAAAATATTTGTGGAGAAAATGTTATACATTTTTTGTGGAAACTGTTACATTTTATTTTTCAGGATTCTTTGATGAATAAGAAGTTCAAAAGAGCGGCATTTATTTGAAACAGAAATCTTTTCTAATATTATAAATGTCTGTATTGTCACTTTTGATCAATTTTATGCATCCTTGATGAGTAAAAGTAAAACATCAAGTAACTACATCAAGTTTTCATGAGCGCTCAGCAGCTCCGGATCGGCTCGCGTTTAACACAGAGACACTTCAGAGCAGATTTCACCAGGGACAGCCTTCATTTGCATTTAAATGTCAGATTCAGGAGGTCTCGGGGATTAATTGCTTTTCCCTAATCGAGGTCTCTTAAATAAACATAAAATAATGAAACAATACAGACAGCAAGAGAAAATAATTACAACTATCTCAAAGCAAACACTTTAATAAAAGGATTAAGATAATATTAGTCTCAGGCTCAGACGACACACTTCACACACCGTCTGACGGATCTGGCTTGGCTCTGGTTTACATCAGTCTGACTGGATCTGTCACTTAACAATCTTAAAAACACAACATGCACTAACCGCACTTTTGCGCACTAAATGCACTAAATGCACTTTTGACACTGTCAATCATCAGATCCTCCTTTCTGCCCTCTCTTCATGTAACCGTCTTCACACACGTGTGATAAGAACTGCTTATAAATCTGGGGGGCTTCATGTGTTTTCCCACCAAAATAAAAGCTCTCTGGTTTGTAAAAGCAGGATTTCTGCAGGTTTATGAAGATAAATTTAAGGGTTTTAAGACCCTGTTAAGACCAAGTAAAGAAAATTTAAAGAAGAAGTTAAACTGAACACACAATACGTCAATAGGGTCTCAAGATGTAAAGAAGAAATATCTGGAAATGGGCTCAACAATCAACAAACAAGTTTTCAAGCCCACTGACAGATATATATTGTTGTTTTAATCAAACACATTTTTATTAAATAAAAAAAAAAACAAGACTTCATGTTTTCAATATGCATCTCAAGCAAATGTATCATGATTTAAGGATGTTTAGATTTTTTTTTTTTACATATATGCAGTATTCCTATTTTCCATACTGTATTCATGTATTTTTTGTATGAAATATTATCATCAAATATCATATATTGCATAAAAAAATAAATATACATTTTTGGGGGGGTAAAATCAAAATTTACTTTGATTTTTTTATTATTATTTTTGTAATTATTTATTTATTTCATTTATTACTAACAACAGTAATGTGCAAAATCTAATTTTGATATGAAAAAATCATATCATATATATATTATGCAATATCATATATTGCATAAAAAATAAATATTAAATAGTTTATATATATATATATATATATATATATATCATACAGTATTACTATGCACCTGTTTTCCAAAAACATTTCCTGTTGCCAAAAAACTCAGGAAAAAAGAAAACTGTTGTTGAGTATGTTGGGGACAGTAGGTCAGTAGTTTACATTTCTCACAGCCTCACCTGAGTGAGATCCGCACACAGCCAGTCAGAAGATATTTCATGTGTAATATACAGATATGTGAAGCATGATGTCGGCCCAATGAGCTTCCACTGTGGGCCTCTGCAAAAATGTCTCAACACTGGCCACTTTTTATAGAGTTTACGGGCTGTTAAAGCAACGAGTGACGCACCTGGACGTCCTGTAGTTTGGTGTTCCAGGCCTCTGTGACGGCTGCGGCGTGTTCACGGTGAGTGATATAAATGTGCGCCTGCAGCACGTGAGCCAGTGTGAGTCTGGAGTCCATCGCACACAGAACCTTCTCCATGTGACTGAAGCAGAGCCGAGCCTGGAGAGCCACCGGCCCCTTCACCAGCTGCATGGAGCAGGGCACCAGAGCGATCTGTCCCGCGCAGAACACCGCCTCCCGCACCTGAGACACACACACGGAGTTAAACCACTCACAGGCATTACTGTTAGATCTGCACACACAACACTTCAGAGATAAACCACTCAAACATTCAGTTACAGGAGACACACAACACCTTAATGAACATTGTTAATCAATTAATTGTGACCCTGGAGCACAAAAGCAGTCTTAAGTCGCTGGGGTATATTTGTAGCAATAGCCAAAAATACATTGTATGGGTCAAAATTATTGATATTTCTTTTATGCCAAAAATCATTAGGATATTAAGTAAAGATCATGTTCCATGAAGATATTTTGTACATTTCCTACTGTAAATATATAAAAACTTAATTTTTGATTAGTAATATGCATTGCTAAGAACTTTATTTGGACAACTTTAAAGATGATTTTCTCAATATTTAGATTTTTTTGCACCCTCAGATTCCAGATTTTCAAATTGTTGTATCTCGACCAAATATTATCCTATCCTAACAAACCATACATCAATGGAAAGCTTATTTATTCATCTTTCATAAGATGGATAAATCTCAATTTCGAAAAATTGACACTTAACTCCAGTTTTGTGGTCAAGGGTCACAATTGATGTAAATTATTTATATTTAATTGATTTTAAAAATAGTAAATTGATATTGAAAAACAGTAAGTAGGGCTGCATGATTAATCAAAATTTAATCAAATTCCCCATTAGGCAAAAGCTGCGATTTTCATGCGCAGCTCAGGGAAGACATGCAACAACAAAAAAAAAAAATAATTTTTAAACACTTATACAATATTTTAAAGCCTTTATTGTTTTTTTTAACTCTACAGTTGTGCAGTAAAATTCACTTTAAAGATTCACTTTTCATTCATGGAGATGACGTGGCAAAAATCCTGGTGAAAAACAAAGACTTTTAAGATGAAAATTACACAAAATTACCATTATATCCAGTAGATGGCAGCAGAGGATCGCTCATTAGCTCAGTTGCCATTTCCACTCCCAAGTTTTCACGTCTTGCTATTGGATTTATTATAAAATGACTATTATAACAAATTTTAGTACTGTACTGAAGTAGTTAGTTACTTCAGCAAGTACAATTAAATAATAATGCATTAAATATTTTGAAATATTTTTAGATTTAATTTAAAAACTACATTTTTAAACATTGTCTTAAAAAGGACACATCAAAAAAAGTGCTAAGTTTTATCTTTAACTGTAGAAGCTGCTAAATATATTCAGTCAACACAGACTTGTTGCTGCTGTAGTTTTGTTACTCTGCATCACTTAATGCACAGCTCTATTTTTGATATCGGCCTGTCAGACAGTTCGTTCCGCCCAGTGCTACAATTATCACTGTCAATCATAGCAATGACTGATGGAACAATTTAGCGGATTCACTTTCATAATTATTTACACTCGCATTTGTCACTCCTGAAACAGTATATGTGGACGTTCGTTCATTTTAGACAAACAAAACTTTTCTTCAAATTGTCAATGGATTATGTAGAGAAAGGGCTCATCTTATAGCGCAACTGACCGAGCTTACTCAAGCGAAAACTCCTGATATAATCAATGAATAACTACACAATCAATCTCTTATTCACACCGTGTGTATGATTCGTTTCGCGAATCTCGTAGGTGACCTATTTTGATCTCAAAAAGGTGAGTTTTCACCAAAAGGTGAGGAGTTTGCATCTATGGCAGCTTGTCAGTGGAGCAGAGTTCTGTGTTCAGTAGTAAATCTCCATCCGAAGGTCAGAGGGTGCTCTCACGCTGAAACTCCAAATATGCCCCGCAGAAGAACCGTTGTTCCAGGAAACAGAAGATTGAACTGCTTTCATTGATTCAATGTGACTAACGCACGAGTATGACAATATATGGTTTATTTGAGTTCTTATTATAATTTTCATTATAATAAAGTATATTTATAATGCAATGCTAAGTGAGTTTTGAGTAAAAACGTTATTAAATGTGGTATTTTGTTGGCCAAGAGGTTTATAAATGCTTCGCATGTTTAGAAAGGTGTTTGATGCATGTTGCTCTTTCAAAAGCACGTTATAAATGACTCAAACTCGCCGTGCTTTCAGATGGAGCAGCATTTACTACACAGAGCCGTAGTTTACTGACAAAACAGCTTTCATAATCGCACATTGATTTCATAATTGCATGATTAATTCGATCTGCGATTATGAAAGCTGTTTTGCGCAGTTTGTTAGTGAACTACAGCTCTGTGTGGTAAATGCTGCACCATCAGAAAGCACAGCGAGTTTGAGTCATTTATAATGGATGGAGATTTATTACTGATCACAGAACCGTGCTTCACTGACAAGCTGCACATGAAAATTGCATTCGATTAATCGTGCAGCCCTAACAGTAAGTAAATAAATGGGGAGAGTCTCCACAATGGGACTGAAGCTCTCATCTGTGCACGAGCCGCCATCACTGACAACGAGCATTCAGCGTGATTTCAAAAGCAACATTTCAATGTCAGATCGCCTTTTCTTTAACACAAACGAACAAAATAAATACTCTACTTCTTGGAGGTCCTAGGTGGGGTCTTGGAAGGGGTACCACCTGATCTGAACCCAAGTGGTGTTTTGTTATTGGACTTCTGTGCTCAGCATGGATTGGCCATAACAAACACCATGTTTGAACATAAGGTGGTTCATAAGTGTACTTGATACCAGACCACCTTAGCCAAAGGTCTCCGATTGACTTCGCAGTCGAATCATCAAACCTGTGGCCATATGTTCTGGACACTCGTGTAAAGACAGGAGCAGAGCTGTCAATTGATCACCAGTTGAATAAGATTGTGGGGGAGCCTGCCGGACAGACCCGTATAGTGAGGGTCAACTGGGAACGTCTGGCTGAGGACTCCCACCTCCGCAGAAGCTTTTCCTTACTTCTAGGGGAAGGCTGGGGACATGGACTCTGAGAGGGCTCTGTTCTGGCCTTTAGAGTTTGGGAAGAGACAGAAGCCATGGAGAAGGACTTTTGGTCGGCCTCAAAGAGGTTCTGGCAAACCACCAGACGGCTGAGGCGGAGAAACCATAGACTGGTCCAGGCTGTTCTAAAGCCTGGAATACACTACATGACTTTTAAAACCTGAACAGATTTTTAAAGTGCCCCTATTATGGATTTTTGAAAATTACCTTTCATGCAGTGTGTAACACAGCTCTAAGTGAATGAAAACATCCTGAAAAGTTTTAAATCTGAAAGTGCACCGTGTATAAAGTTATTGCCTCTCAAAAGAAAGAGTCGACTCTGAATCATTTAAACGAGTCATTTTTAAAACGAATCCCAAGCCATTTCGCATTGACGTCAACATGAAACATTAGCATATTGCCCGCCCAATTGTTGCGCACGCAGACCTGGGAAAAATTGAACACTGAGGGTAAATCAGTTTTTTTTTTTTTACTGCCAAAGAGTAGCTGTGAAGAATCAATGGTTAAAGTTCATTTTTACAGCAATACCACAGCAGTACAGCCCCAACCTTGTTTTGTGTCCCCGTCATTTTACTAAAGACTGCTACAGTGTTTCCCACAGTCTTACTCTATGTGTTGCGGGGCTTCCCCCGTGGGATATATATACCGGTTCACATTCACGGCTCTGCGTGCTTGCTGCATAAAACCATCAGTCGATTTTCTCGTTGGTCTGAATGAAAATGCAAATTCATTCTTTGCCACTAGGTGCCACTTTTGGAGTGGCAAGAATAGCGGTTGGTCTGAATGAAAATGCAAATTCATTCTTTGCCACTAGGTGCCACTTTTGGTTTCCCCGGTAACGCTGTACACAAAGCAGCACTGCGCTCACAAACGCTGCTTTATCAGGCATTACAGGCATGATGAAATGAAAATGAGACCAATCACCGCAGATTAGCATCATGTAAAGGAGGGGTTTGGAAAAATGAATCATTGAGTGAATCGTTTGGGAGTTGTTGAGCAAATAAGGTAAAAATAAATGCATATTATAAGACAATGAAAGTGTTTTTGAACTTGCATGCATGTCAACCTGTTGTTGAGGACTCCCAAAACCAAAATATTAACCTTTCACTACACATAATAGGGACATTTTAAAACACTAGGCATCATACACTTTACTGACTCTGTAAATAGTGACAGAGGAAAACTGGCCGTCATACACTACACGACTCAGGATCACACACTACCAGACTTTAAAGTTGTTCTGATCACAACAAACTCAAACAAAAGAAACGTGCGCCCAGGAGACGCATGAAAAATTAATATAATATGTGTTCTAAAATCAGCTGAAAATATCAAACATGTTTGATATCCTCCAACTGGATGGAATCTAAGTCTGAAGGTAACAAATTGGAGTCTGTGACCATCATACACTACGCGATTTTCTATGGAATCTGTCAACTCAAATCTGCAGACTGGCTCTGACTTTCCGCAAATAGCGTTCAACAAAAAATGCGTAGTGTATTCCAGGCTTAAGTCAGTACGGGGGCTTGCTGACCTCGCCTGTTGATGTGTTCTGGAGGTGGAAGGAGCACTTTGAGGATCAAGTTGAGGCAGGGTTGGATGACTAGGGGGAATTCTGGCCCATTTCCCTGGCGGAAGTCACATTCTTCCCGAGATGTTGAAGGCCCTGGATGAAGTTAGTCTGCTTGTTCAACATCGCATGGGAATCTGGGTCAGTGCCTGGTGATTGGCAGACAGGTGTGGTGGTTCCCATTTTCAAAAAAGTTGACCGAAGGGTGTGTTGCCTGGGAAAGTCTATGCCAGAGTACTGTAAATGAGAATCCAACCCACTCTCAAAACTCAACTGGAGGAGGAACAATGCAGATTCCATCCCAGACAAGGAACAGTGGACCAGCATTTCACCCTGGCAAGAATACTGGAGGGGGCATGTTTGCTTATCCAATCTACATGTGTTTTGTAGATTTGGAGAAAGCCTATGACGTGATTGCTTGTGGGGGGGCGTTCTGGGAGTATGGGGTACCTTGTACACTAATGCACGCTATCCGGTCTCTTTACAACCAATGTGAAAGCTGTGTTCGCAC